TTTTTTTTTTTTTTTTTTTTTTTTTTTTTTTGAGAGGTTTTTTTGTCATAGGGTGTGTGTGCTCACCAGAAAGACAGAAAGAGACAGAGAGACAGAAAGTGAGAAATCACCCCCCAAGGGGGATGGCCACACCTCAATCCTTTCTCCTCCATTCTCTGTTAGGATCTTGGGCACGCACACACATGCACCTGGTGTGAGTTTAAGCCACTGGGTCCGGGACCTGAACCATGGTCGACTACATAGGAGTCCAGCAACATAGCCATTATGCCAACTGCTGGTCCCAAGTATATATGATTTTCAAAATGTGCCAAGATCTTATTGAATATTGAAAACCTTTATTAATAACAGTAAATAGATACTATAAAGCATTATTTTAAAAGAACAAAACTATATTTCTATGCTTCTTATCTAGGAAGCCCAATTTTCATGAAGTTTATCTTGTAGATAATAACATTTATCAAAATATCTAAATAATACTAAACAAATGTATTTTAATGAAACTCAAGAATATTTTTAAATGAATAATTTAAAGTACAAAGTTTAGCTAGCCCTGTAGCACAGTGGTTAAGTGTTATGCAATGGTAATTGGATCTCGTATGGCTGACACAGTTCAAATCCTGGTCCCGACACCTTGAGAAACACACCACGGGCATTGTGTACATGGCCAAAGTGCTGACAGGTGGGAGAAATAGAAGAGAACTGCAATGTGACCACCCCCTACTGGAAAGTGTTCTCTCTCTCTTTTTCTGTCTCTTTTCCTTTCTCTCTGTCACTCTCTGGTGAGTTCATACACCCTCCGGCAATAAATAAATGAAGTATAACATTTTCCCACTGTCCTTAAATTTAATTATTTCACATGACTAAAAAGTAAGCAACACATGAATGAAGGGATATTATGAAAGAAATCTTCCTTTTCATTTATTTTAGAATTGTTTCTTTATTTTTTATTTGATAGTATCTTTATATACCAGGGTCTTTCATATTATATTTTCTAGACCCTTCATTATAAGCATTAGAAGGAGTGTTTTTAAGTGTAGATCATTTTTTAGTTGGTATAATGATTATGGGGAAGGAGATCTGTTACTTCTTACCAAATATTTGGAATCCTTGTTCTACCCTTTCACCCTTAAAAATGTTCATGAAAATCCTGATATAGCCTTGGTAATAGCTTTCTGAATAAAACAGCTTAATTTAAATATACTTTTATTGAAGACCCCACTATCACAATAATTAAACACTTTTCTTTTAAAATATGGCTTTCAGGGGTATGAGCCTAACCATTTAATTTACCAAAACATTTCTAGAATTTCCTTGTGGAATACTCTCTAAGTCATTCTTTTGTAGCTGGTTTCCTTTTAAAACACAGGGTTTAAAGTATCCATGAGCCCATGAACTCTGACCTTCATTTAATCTCCTGAGCTCTATTTTTATCACACTGAAAAGGCCCTGAAAAATAGGCAAGCTGATGGCCCCAAGCTTTCAGCTACACATGGCCCTCTACACAGGGGCTTTGCCTGACACGACTTTAATTTTAACAGGCCAGTATTGCTATACTCTTCCACTTTCCTAAGCATTAATCCTTACGACGTTAAAGAGGACGCCCAGATAATCAAGAAACAGTATTTCTCCCTTTCATTTTTGTTTTGTTTTGTTTTGGAGAGGTTTTTGCTATAGGGCGCATGCGCTCGCCAGAAAGACAGAGAGAGACAGAGAGACAGAAAGCGAGAAATCACTCCCCAGGGGGGATGGCCACGCTGCAATCCCTTCTCCTCCATTCTCCTCTCGGGATCTTGGGCACGCACGCACATGTGCCCAGCGTGAGTTTTAAGCCACCAGGTCCGGGACACGAACCGCAGTCGACTACATGGGAGTCCAGCAACATAGCCATTATGCTAACTGCTGGTCCCTCCCTTTCATTTTTGAATGTGTATGTGTTACACGTGACACCTCCTACTCTGGTGTCTGGATCTTTGGTCCTGAGAATCTCAAGAGAAGGCTTCATTAGATAAATCAGAAAAGGTTTCATCTGCCCCCTGCCCCCTTAGAAATGTCTAAAGAGGATGTCTCTACCACTTATTCAATGTTCCATATGCCTCACTATCAGAAAATATTCCTTTTTTCCTAGCCAAATACTCCTCCTGTAATTTAAATACATTTCTTCCTGTTCAGAATAGCATGAGTTCTCTATACTAGTATAATGGGCAATGAGGGTCAGGAACAAATTATTGATAATTTAATCAAATTTGGCAAATAGTTATTGAGTGCTATATTCAATATTGTCCAAACTCAATACTACACTCAACTATAAAGTTGAAGTCTGGTCTGGGACTGTACCCTTCGGCAGAGCAGAGACCACAGAGTAGGAGTGATCAAGTGTGAGGCGCTTGGGTATTTGGGTTTCTAAACTTTTTGCTGCTCAGTTTTTCCTGCTCGTGTTTACATGGCTGCCTTTTAAATCCCTCTCCAAGTGCCTTCCTTGATCTACTTAGGACATGTCTAATTCCTATGTCAGCTTCTGATAAACATCTTCATTGTCTTCCTCAATTTCCGTGCTTATCCTAAGGACATTTTTTAGGTTTTGTTTATTGACCACTCTGGCTGAAACACTCCAGAACAAAGACACGATGTACAATGGATAAGGCACAAGGTCCATCCTCACAATTACAATATGGCCGTTCAACCCAGTGGATACAGTGACTTGCAAGAGGTATTGCTAATGTCCCTCATTTACTCCTTTACTTACTGGGATCCCATCTCTGCACAAGAGGCCACCAATAAATTGCCATGGTGTGGTGCCATCACTAACTTGTCCCAAGGTCCCCCCAGCATTGTTTATAGACAGGTGGATGTTGCTGGGAGAGCTACATAAAACAGGTGCAATGGAGGCATGAATCCTGCTGGAGGTGGCAGTGGATGGAGAACTGGCAATGGGGGCCCTCTGCAGGGGTGAGGAGCGTATGTGTTGGCAGGAGCAGCAGCAGCAGCAGCAGAGGCAGCAGGAGAGGAGAAATGGGAAGAGAGTGGGTTTTAATGCATCACTAGCTTCTCTCCCAACCTCATGAAAAGTTTAATCTCCCTTTAGGTCTAAATAGGTCTTCCTAAGGGGAAGACAGAGACATCAACATTCTTAGGATCTCTTCAGACCAAAACCCTCCACTGCCAAAAACAAGCTTTAGTTAGAAGTCTTTAAACTCCCTTCCCAATTAGCTCCGTGATGGATTGTGCAGTGTCAGGAGAGAAACTGTATTTAGCCTTGCTTGGCATGCAAGAGTTCCATGGTGGTATTTACAGGGAACACTCCTGGAGAGGTTGGCGATACTGCTACCACCATTCGGGTTTGTTTGCTTTTTCTCACTGGCACCTGCCATCACACTGGCAGAAATAACTTGGGATTTAATGGCAAAGGTGGTTTACCTGATAGTCTGTGCTCTAAGTATATCCCTGCTTACCCCACAGGGTTATAAACTTCAAGCCCAGATCATACATTTGCTCAGTATTCTGAAAGATAGATGGTTCTTCACTCTGTAGAATCAAGCATAAGGTACTGAGGGGTAAGAAAATTATATGGGTCACTAAAAGTTGGCTTCTAAGCTGGGAATAAAATCCAGAATTACAAACTAGTTTCTAGATTCTAGTTGCCAAACTTCCTTTTCCAATGTCAAGGAGGAGGTATTCAGAATTTTCTATGTTGAATCTCTTTATCATTAAGCGATAAGTGGCAAAATAAATATATATCAGATACTCACAATCACCATATTAATGGAGAGTTTATGAGTAAATTGATGAAATCATTTTTCATCCTAGTTTCATTTTGGCTTGTTATGACATAAAATATTATTGCTCTCTCTCTATATATATATATATATT